TTCATTGTTTTAAACACTGCAATTAAACTACCTCAACTTTCCAAATGCAAATTAACATTATCTAAGTTTATGTTCCTGCCTTCATAACATACTGCTGCTAGACCATAGCACTGCTTTGTCAGTAGAGCGAGGCAACTGGTGGTGGTTTACCTGAGGGTCATCATGCCTCAGACAAGAGGAAAGCTCAAGAGGGAGAATCCTTCATGGTAACCTCAGCCAGTGTGTGAAATAAAGCCATGCTGTTGGTATCAGTCTGCATTGCAAACCAGCCATCCAGCCAACTGAGCTAGTGACACAAGTGAATCTTCACTGTACCTTTTCAAAGTCCTGTAAGTTTTTCCTGACATTCAGTGCCCAGAACACGGTACAATACTCCAGATTGAGTCTGATTAAGGCATTTACAATTGAAGCTTTACTTCCTCATTTTATAATTCCATTTCCCTCAAGATACAGGCCAAAATTCCACGAACCTTTTGATTACTTTTTGTACATCTACACTAGCTTTCAGTGATTTCTCTATGCACACACCTTGAGCTCTTTGCTCCTGCATAGTTTCTAGTCTCTCTATATTAAGAAAATATACCTATTGTTTAATCTTAGATCTATAGTGAATGATCATGCAGTCATTACAGTTGAATCCATCTGTTATAGGTTTTGCCTCTCTCAAGTCTTTAAAATTCCTTTGCAGTTTTTTGTTCCAATTTACATAATTTACAGTGCGTCCTTTGCGTAAGCTACAAAAATAGATAAACAGTTCTCATTTTTTTCATCCAAGACATTAATGTGTGTGATGAAAAGCAAAGGCCCCAGTTCAGATCCCGGAGGAACTCTGCTTGTCACATCTGGCTAATCAAAACGTAAACCCTTTATTCCTACCCTATCCCACCAACTACTGCACCCCCAACTTCTTACTGACCTGTGTCACAAAGTTATTTCCAATTCTGTGTATTGTACCATACCTGGTCTTATCACAAATTTCATGATATTCTCTCAACACAATTTCACATCTGAGCTCACAAGTATCATTGCACAAGTGGAAGTCGGTGCTTGAGCTAGCAAGCAAAACCAAGGAATTAGTGGACTTCATTAATTCAGATGCAGAATATTAGAATAAATGTAGAGGTCCAGAGTCATTGGAATCTTGGCAGGTGGCCAATGAAAACCTGGAGCTCACTTAATCCTTTTGTACTAGCTGGATGCCATATGTTGAAAACAAATAACAAACACAAGGTGAATCAAGTTTGCAACATGCACAGAATTTACAGTGGATTAAATAAATTCAATACATGTTCCATTACTGTGCCACATCAACTAACTCAAATAGAGCAGAATCCCATCAGAAAATACACAGAAAACTGTTTAAGAAAGTAAGTTGGCAAAGCTTGCTTGGATTGACAAATTGCAAGGTTAAGAGATAGGATTTAATATTGTTTTTTGAAAGTCTTGGGTTACTATCCAGAATCCCATTCTTCCTTGCTACACTGATGGTCCAACAGTGAATTCCTCATTGTTGCTTTTGTTCTCTAACACTTTTTTCAGTGAATGGTCATATCATGCATGCTACAAACACGCTATGAGCAACCTGGTGCAAAAGGGCATGATAGGTATAGAAAGGAAATTTCACACCTTTCACACTAATCCATTCGTTGCAAAGTAAACATTATTCTGTTACTGCATGCTATGGTCACACGTAAACTGGCATTTGAAATTCCTTATCTAGTGCTTTGTCATGCGTCCACTCAAGGCGGGAAATAGACTGGACACGGGCAGCACTCTCGTGTTCCAAATTCTAGCAATACGTTCGCTGTTGCTTTCAAATAAGAAGGAAACAAGAGTTGCTGGCAGTCTTCCCAATCAACATGATATTGTCCTGCAAATCTCTGGAAGGCACCAGCTAAAGAGAGATGGTGCCAGTCCAGCAAAGGTAGCGTCCTGTTTTACTTAATCTTCTTGCTTCCTACCAATCTCACCCATTTACATTCTGCAAGAATGATACATGATACACTCTGTTAAACGGAATCCAATGACTTCTGCCATGGTAAGTTTAGTGGTAGTTGAGGGGCACAGGGCACTTAATTGGGAGGGAGGGTAGTAGGTACTACCTAGTCTCCTTCCGCCGCCACCCCAAATATGCTCAGAGATGGATGCCCTGTACCACTGGAAATTGAGGCCCTTAAGCATGTAATTAATGCCCACGAGAGCCTCGTCTTACCAGCACATGTATTCACCCAGCAGCAGGTGGTGAACTCACCATGAGAGAAGCATAACAAGTAATCCCTTGGCAAGCTTTCCTATGGGCTTCAGAGGGTTAGGTGGGAACGCAAAATCTAATTCAAAAATACTTAGTGCCTGATTTAGGGACCTGGCATGGGAACATGGGATGCACACTGATGGCTACCCTTACTGCAGCCCATTCCTTATCAATTGTCCACTCTCTGTGACACCACTTTGCTATCGTTCACCTGTGGCAGGCAAACTAACAGTGATTCTAGGCCTTGGGTGGGTGTAGTACATGCAGCAGTTAACACCTGCTTGGCAGTGCAGCTGTTCTTTAGAGCCATAAGCTCTGAGAAATCAACACCATTACCCACTACCCTAAATACCTCACTACTACTAACAAATCATGGCTGCAGTACATACTCACTGTGGGACCCAATACAGCAGTGGTAAAAGTTTCTGCAGCTGTCATCTAGGTCAAGAGCAGCAGGTACAGAGGAATCTTAAGTTCCCCTCAAACTCACTGACCATAATGACTTCAACCTGAACAGCTTTCTGTCATGTCTGCTGAGTCATAATCCTGCAAACCCACATTGAACAACATTGTGAGAATTCCTTCACTACTTGGCTTTGAAAGTTAAACCTCTATCACAAAGATGAATAACAAAAAAGCAGATGGATCATTAAGAAGAAAACTCCAAAAGACCAGAAGCAATGCTGAGTAGCACTCCTCTTAAGTGGGCGAGTAATACTAATGGAGTGAACTAGTGAAGAAGGTGGTTGATAGAGGAATGGGTCAAAATTTTAGAGCTTTCACTGAACACAACAGAGAAAATGGTTGAGGCAGGTGCAATAGCAACATTTAAAAAAAAACATTTGGATAGGTGCATGGATGGGAAGGGTTTAGAGGGATATGGATCAAATGCAGGCAATTGGAACTAGCTGAGTGGGAATGGTCAGCATGGACCAGTTTGGGCCAAAGGGCCTGTTTCCATGCTGTATTACTCTATTACTCTATGACAACAAAAGGGAACATAACGAGGGGGGTAGACGAAGTGAGAGATCTTGATGTCAAGTGCACAGATCCCTAAAGGTAGCAGTACAGGTAGATAAGGTTGTAAAGAAGGCATTTGGAATGTTCTCCTTCATTGGGAGAGGGATACAAGACAAAAGTACTATATAATGATGAAGTCACAACTGGAGCATTGTGTTCAGTTCTTGTCATCACATTATACGAAGGACACAATTACTCCAGAAAGAGTGTACAGAGAATTTACTTGAATGTTGCCAGAGCTGGAGAATTGTAGCTACAAGGAGAGCTTGGGGTTGTTTTCCTTGGAACAGAGAAGGCTGAGGGGTGACATGATTGAGGTATACAAAATTGTGAGGTGTAGAGACGGAGTAGCAAGGAGGAACCGGTTTCCCTTGGCAGAGAGTTCAAAAACCAGATGTCATAGATTCAAGCTAAGTGGCAGAAGGATTAGAGGGAATGTGAGGAAATGTTCTTTACATAGAGGGTGGTGGGTATCTGGAATTCACTGCCTGATTTGGTGGTGAAGGCGGAGACTCTAAACTCTTAATAAGTTCCTGAATCTGCACCTTAAGTGTTGTATGCTGCAAGGCTAGGGGTTGCATGCAGGAAAATGGGATTGGAAAGTGCATCCGGGTGTCTTTGGGTCAGCATGGACAAGATGGGCCAAACAGCCCCCTTCTGTGCTGTATCATTTCTATGATTCTATGGTTAACTTCACAATGCAATGTGGCTTTGACATAAAGTGATAAGAGACATCCAGAAACTCTGATTCAATGAATGCATTGTCTTGTAATTTTCTTTTATTACTAACCTATTTTTCTAATTGACCTGTTCAGAGATTCTATTACATACCTTTGGATCAGGTGGGACATGAACCCAGCTTCCTGGTGCAGGGGTGTGGACACTATCATTGCAACACAAGAGGGTCCCGCTAGATGGCTCAAGGAGGTAGGTATGGATATTTTCTAGTCAACCTGTTCGGAGATATTATGACATACCTCTGGAACAGGTGGGACTTGAACCTGGGTTGCCTGGCCCAGAGGTAGGGACACTACCACTGCACCAAAAGAACCTCAGAGCACTACCACAAATTTTGCAGTCAAGTATCTCATTTATCATCGGATAAACATACGGATCATTGGATAAACATATGGATGATAATGGAATAGTTTAGGTTAGATGGGCTTCAGATTGGTTTCACAGGTCGGCGCAACATCGAGGGCCGAAGGGCCTGTACTGCGCTGTAATGTTCTATTTAGGGAAATTGTAGGCATCAACACACCTCACGTGCAATGGGATAACCTCATTCTGGGAGAACCACCTTCATGACCAGGTCTCTCCCCTGCCAGGTAAGTATAAAATTGCCTTGTTGATCAGGTTCTCCGATTAGCTATTCCACCTGTCAAATCCTAAATGTGATGTTCTCACACAGAACATGATCTTACAGTTTATTTTCTCAGTACGATAATCAAAATAATACCAAAGCTGGAATGGCAATGTTAGTAACAAACATTTATACTCGATAGTGGTGGTTCGCTGGAAAGTCATGCTTCAGTGAGCTTATTTCTGATAATACATAATATTTTCTCTCTATAATGTGGTATATGATAATGTATTTTGTCAGGATGGATATGATCTTATATCTGCTGAAGTGGTTTAATTTGGATAATTACTCTTTAATGAACTATGTAACACATTTAATTGCAGTATATTCTCAGTATAAGGCCTTGCCGTTGAAAATGATCCCTACCTGTTAAAGAGATTGTTCCTGCTGACCATCCTAAGGAATCCTGTTGGATCAGTGATGGAAGTCAGTTTATTGTTCATCTCTTCAAACTGTTGGTCAAGAAGATCTCCAGCCTCACTCTCTGTCTCACTGTTCGCACACATCCTACTGAAACAAAAATCCCAATCACATCATTGCAAATGAGTTCCCAGCTCCTACATATAAACAAAAATGCATAGATCCTCCCGATTACTGTCAATTTACAGAAAAATTTCTGAACTAAGAAAAATTGCCTGAAATTCATTTCAGTTACATCTCTGAGAACTGTTCATTTAGCATTTTTAAATAACAGATCTACTACCTTCTTAGCCATAAACTTAAAAAGGCAACATTGTTAAGGTATCAATATTGGAGGTCCCTGTGCTTAAGGTACTGAACTATATTGTGTAGCTGTGATGTGGCTTAAAACAATTTACCATTGGAAAGCTGACTTGCAAACAGTGACTGCCTCAAATACATGCTTAATCTATATACATAGTTCAATTAAAATTCTCATAAACATAAAAGTAATCTTAGAAATAATAAACTTCCAGTAATAACATACATGGCCAAGCTCCCTAAATCTCTCTGAACTAAATGCATAAGGGATTCCATTACTTTCAGGATAAGTTTGCAATTGGACAGCTGTAACAATCAGGTAGGTACTCAATCACTTACGACAAATTAATTTTTTCAGTAATGCGTAACAAATTGGAACGCTGACTTTTCACTTTTAAAAAAAAGCATTTACAACAAATTGTTAGCAGGAGTACTTCCAGATATACGTAACGTTAAGCATTTGCAATAAAACAAAAATTTACAATGAGACCGGGATTGTTCATTACTTCCCAAAACTGCTTGTCCTCTTTTTTGCTGACTTTATTCCATTTAGTCAAGTCTGTAAAGACTCAAGCACCATGGCCAAGTCTGCCTATGTTTACATGTGTTTGTATCTGTTGTTATATGTGTGCAAATGTGTTGGTATATATTTGTGTGTGTGTGTGCTTACATATATACATAGGCCAGCCAATAACTGCTGCATATACCAGCTGTCATTTCTCAAATATTTGGACACAATTCAGCAAACTGTTAGACAAACACAAATAAAAGGTCAAGTTCACATTTTAGAAGGTGCTGACCCAGAAAACAATGCACAATAAGAAACTTTCAAAATGTCTACCATTTGCTTACACTGGCTTTTCTGTTTATTCAAACATCTCAAGGGATATAGCCATAGAAATTCAAGAGGGAAAACACTTATGACTTCACTCGATTCTATCAATCACCATCATCTGTTTAACTGAAATACAAACCAGATAGTATAAAGTCAATTCACGGCAATTTTCTTTCTTAGATTCAGCCCATTTCTGAAGAAGGGTCTAGGCCCAAAACGTCAGCCTTCCTGCTCCTCTGATGCCGCTTGGCCTGCTGTGTTCATCCAGCTCTACACCTTGTTAGCTCAGATTCTCCAGCATCAGCAGTTCCTACTATCTCTGAAACAATTTTCTTTCTTACCTTCCTCCTCCTCCCCAAGAACCAGGATTTTGGTTTCAACATTAGGTAAGGTAAGGGACAGAGGCAGGCATGGATTCAGAAAGAGAACTAGGGAACCTTTGTGATGATCATATAGGGTGGTCGAACAGGAAGTTGTGAGCAATCAGGTTGAGAGTGACACAGTCAGCGAGATGAAAGGAACAAGGGCCAAGGCAGTGCTTGACCAAACATTTTTCCACTGTGATTCGGATGTTTGAAAACTGTCACAACCCCGAGGTGAACTGTGGAAGGGAAAAGGGAAAACCTACTAAAGCAAGGGGAAAGGGTCAGGCGCTACTGCCTCACAGCTCACGACCACGAATTCTCAGCTGGTAACCACTGGGAAATTCTAGCCTGAAGGTGTGAACCTTGTCCTTGAAAGTGGAGTTGCAGGTAGATAAGATAGTGAAGGTGGCGTTTGGTATGCTTGCTTTTATGGGTTAGTGCATGGTGTATAGGAGTTAGGAGGTCATGTTGTGGCTGTACAGGACATTGGGTAGGCCACAATTGCAATACTGCGTGCAATTCTGGTCTCCCTGCTATAGGAAGGAAGTCGTGAAACTCAAAAGGGTTCAGAAAAGATTTACAAGGATCTTGCCAGGTTTGGAGGGTTTGAGCTATAGAGAGAGGCTGAATAGACTGGGGCTACTTTCCCTGGAGTGTCTGAGGTCGAGGGGTGAACATATAGAGGTGTATAAAACTGTGAGGGGCATGGATAGGGTAAATAGGCAAGGTCTTTTTCCCTGGGGTGGGGAGTCCAAAACTAGAGGGCATAGGTTTATGGTGGGAGGGGAAAGATTTAAAAGAGACCTAAGGGGCAACTTTTTCATGGTGCATGTATGGAGTGAGCTACCAGAGGAAGTGGCAGGGGCTGGTATAATTACAACATTTAAAAGGCATCAAGATAGGTATAAGAATCAGAAGGGTTCTGAGGAATAGGGGCCAAATGCTGGCAAATGGGACTAGATTTATTTAGGATATCTGGTTGGCATGGACAAGTTGGACCGAAGGGTACGTTTCTGTGCTGTACATTTCTATGACTTTAAGTTTAAATGACAGACAAGTCTGACAACATGGGTTTAAGAAAGAGAAAATGGTGAAATACTCAGCACCTGAACTCTCTGCAGAGGCTGCCAGACCTGCTGAATATTTCAAGCATTTTTTTTTTGTTTTTCTTTCAAATTTTCAGCTTCTGCAGTAATTTAGAGAAAGATAACTAAGAGATAGAACTTGGTGTCGTAAGCATACACGTGGAACTTGGTCATAAGTCTGTGATAAGTCTGTCGGACTGCACGGAATAGAAGAGGAACAGACAGGTCCAAAGAACAGAGCGTCGGGGACTCCAAAACTAAAATTGAAAGAAAAATCATTGCTGGAGATAGACTTGATTCCGACAGATAATTACAAGTGTAATCCCATTGACTAGGACAACAAAGAGAAGAGGCACTAGGGGCGAGTGACTTAGTTGACCATATCAGAGTTTGCAGAAGTCAAGAATGGATAATGCATCCCAGTCACAGAGGACATGACTTTGCTTTGTGGCTCTGCTTACAGCTGTTTCAATGCTGTGACAGAGTGGATACCCATTTAGAGAGATTAGAACAGAGCTGAACAAGGTATTTGAAGGGAAAAAAAGAGGTTTGAGATGAGGCAAGAGCTTGCAAAGACAGGCATGTCAAAGCTGAGTTTTTCTTGAGAAAGGGTGCTTATGACAAATTTGAACCTCAGGGGACATTGTACAATTGACTTACAACAGCTAACCTGGGGACCAAGAAATTAATCTGGGTAGTCACCAGTTCAGTCTAAAACAAATCTACCTTTTAGAAAGTTCTGAAGTATTCTAACAGAACATGCAATTGTGTGCGTTTCCAAAATATAATATTGTACTCCAACTTAAAAATATGCTAACACCTTCCAACATAACCCACAAACTGGAGGAGCAACACCTCATATTCTGCCTCAGGAGCCTATAGCCCGATGGCCTCAACATGAAATTCACCAGTTTTAAAATCTCCCCACCCCTGGCCTCATCCCATGTCCAACCCTCCCTCTCATCGCTGCCTCCTTGACCTGACACAGCCTGTCCCTCTTCTCTCCCACCTATCTGCCCCACCCATTCCACTGACCAATCCCCACCACTCCCTACCTGCACTCACCTATCACCATCCCACCTACCTTCCCCAGCCCCACCCCTCCCCTCTCTTTTTATTTCTGAGCTCCTTCCCCCTCCCCATTTCAGAAGAAGGGTCCCAACCTGAAACGTCAACTTTCCTGCTCCTCTGATGCTGCCTGGCCTGCTGTGTTCCTCCAGCTCCATACTGTGTTGTCTCTCACTCCAGTATCTGCAGTTCTTGCTATCTCTACTGTAATTATCTACTTTCTACTAAATTAAGTGCATCTCACCACAGCTGCAACATATTACAATCTGAAGCCTCACATTCGGCAATAAGAGCTGAAAATAAAAATAAGTGGGACTATCTGCCAATTGTTTATTTATACATTTTACTTTATACAGTTTCACATCTGTTGGACTCTAAAACTGGCTCATAGATGAACTTCTAGTGGCCATTTCAGTACTGTCAATAAGCCGGGTGTGAGCACATGGGCCTAACAGCTGCACTAGAATCCTGTGAAAATACCAAATTAATCAATTAGTGATTACTTGAAGAGAGGTCACTCAAAGTTTAGTATAATTAAACACATATAGTTAGCTAGATTACAATAATGCTTATTTTGCAAAAATTGAAAGAAAAATTGTCAACCATCAAAGAAAATGTTTTTTAATTCCTTCTTGGAATGTGGGCACCAATGGCAATGCCAACATTTGCTGCCCATCACTGCTTGCCTTTGAGAAGGTAGTGGTGAGCCATATTCTTTTATCGATACAGTCCCGCTGCTACACCCGCAGTGCTGCTGGGATCAGTGCTGCCGGATTTTGATTTGGCAACAGCAAAGAAATTCCAATATAGCTCCAAGTCAGGATAGTGTGTGGTTTCGAAGCACGTATCTGCTGTATGTTTCCTTCCAATGTGGTAGGAGTTGGAAGGTGCTGTCAAAGGAGCCTGTGTCAGTTACTGCACTGCACTCTGTATAATACACACTATTACCACTGTTGATCAGTAGTGGAGTTAATGAATCTTTAAGTGTGCCAGTGGGATGCCAAGTAAGTAGAATGTGTTGTTTCGGTTGGTGTCAGTTTCTTGAGTGTTGTTGGAGCTGAACTCATCCAGACAAGTCAAGATAGTTCTATCATAATCTTGACTTCTGCCGAAATAACTACACAGAGGCCAGTATCCTGTCACCAAGGTGCAGAGCTGGATGAACACAGCAGGCCAAGCAGCATCGTAGGAGCAGGAAGGCTGACGTTTCGGGCCTAGACCCTTCATCAGAAATGGGGGAGGGGAAGGGGGTTCTGAAATAAATAGGGAGAGAGGGGGAGGCGGATAGAAGATGGATAGAGGAGAAGATAGGTGGAGAGGAAACAGACAGGTCAAAGAGGCGGGGATGGAACCAGTAAAGGTGAGTGTAGGTGGGGA